ACCTTTTCAATCTCGTAAGACAACCCCATTCTTCTCTAGAGCCCAGACAACCAATCTTACCCCGCCAAAGGATTCCTAGCGGCGGTATCTCGACTTTTGGTCCGTTGATCATCGAGGCCTTCGGGTTCAATCAGTTCCAAACAATTCTGTTCAATATCCCATTCGGTGCGGTCCAGCTCGTCGCAACGATGGGTGGAGCTTGGCTGGCGACTTTCCTCAAGATGAAAGGCCCCGTGATTGTGCTGCTATGCTTGCCTGCTATTGCGGGCTGCATTATGTTGCTGGTCATTCCACATGATGGCCAACACAATGGAGCGTTGCTTGCAGGATACTACATTGTGAGTTGCAACGGCTTCAAACAACTAGCGAGAAAGAACTATACACTGACCGGTTTTCAGGTGTCTGTGTACCCCGGAATCAGTATGTATATCGTCTTGTTGTGCGCGCGATCAAGTCTGACAAGAATTGCAGCCCCTCTGATCTATTCTTGGTCGGCAGCAAACACAGCCGGTGAGACGAAGAAGAAGATTGTGAATGGAATCGTCCTGGTGGGACAATGCGCCGGTAACGTAGGGTTCAGACTCCGATCCGATAAGTGGCTTCTCTGCTTATTCCGAAAAACAGGTTCTTGGCTCAAATTTGTACACCACTACAGACGCGCCATTGTATAGACGAGGCTTGCGGTCTAAGTAAACTGACCCCCATACTCTTCTTACACGGACCGAAAATACTGATGATGTTTGCAGCCTTGCGATGTTTTGCGTCTTGGTTGTGCTATGCATGTAAGTCTTTTATCACAGCCGCTAGGATCCCCTGCTCACCAGCCCAGACTGAATATGACCTACCTCCTTTTCCTCAACAAGAAGCACGAGAGACAGCGAGTATCTATGGGCAAGAGCGCCAAAATCGTCGATCACTCGATGCAAGCTGTTGGGGCTGCTGAGGGCGACAAATTAGACGGATCTGTGCAGGCTGCCGTAACGGAGGACAACGCATTCAAAGACCTTACGGACTGGTTGAATGAGGATTTTGTGTATGTGTATTAACGCTAGTTGTACTCAGGGGCTTGTCGAACGACGTGTGGGGAAGTACGCGTGGACAGTTGTATGGCTAGTGCTCAATTGAGGCGTAAATGTTTCTATTGTACCGTATAGTATGTTTGTAGTTGGACGTTCACTGAAATCAGTCAGTAGATCAAGCGCGAATGAGAGCATACCTACGAATAGACAAAGGCGGGCGAACGAGCAAGAGGACGACGATCATGGTCCATTAGCCGAGCCGACGACTGTTGATGGCTTGCGTCGCCCCCGCCTTTGGCATTGCTCCACGACCCACTCTGTGGTCTGCCATGTACATGCAGTATTTCGACATCGGGCACTACTATACATCGCTGCAGGAGGCGACAGTGACGGGCAGTTTGCTTGAAGATGGACTCAGATGACTCCTCTTGCGTGAGACAACTTCCTACCGGCAAGAAACGGATTCCTGTATACTCGTCCTCTCCTACTTGTCACTGTCGCAAGACATTGCATACGTTGACTGACCATCCTCTCGGCAATTCAGAAAGCATGCAGTGCTTGTCGACAGTCGAAGGTAAATTTTGCTCTAATTTTACATCCTTGATCACTAACAACCCTTTGCAGGTACGATGTGACGGGAAACGGCCCTGCTCGAGGTATGGTATCCCATCCAGCGCCGCTCGCTAGTTGCATACTGCGAGACGAGCATACTCGATTGACGCATACCTGAAAATAGGTGCAAGCGATCATGCAAGCCATGTATCTTCTACGAAATCCCTAAAGATCCCACAACTGAGTATGCCCAATCATCCATGTCACGCACATCGTCCCTTCCATCCCATCCCGCAGCACCACCATACCAGCTTTCTAATATCCCGCAAGGAGACTGGAGACCGTCGAATCAGAAGTCCAGCGTCTCCGTGCACAGATTGAGGCCATGGCCGAGCTTCTTCGTCTCTCCACGCAGCAATCTCAAGCCGAAGGACTCGGGCAAGTGCAGCATGCTCAGAGCCAATTCATGGAACAGCATCGTGCATACCCCGCCGAAGCAGCTTTCCCGGCTCCAAACCATGCGGTTTCTGATCCAGGAGGCATACCCATGCTTTTCGCTGCGGCGACTTCTGCGCTCAATTCCGAGAGGGGATCCGAGTTTCATCCACAACGAGGACTATCTGCTTCGTCGCAGAGTCCATCAGTGATGGACACGGAGACAGCTCGTCCGTTCAAGCGGAAGCGCTCTGGGTTTGAGGTTAAGGAAGAGCCCATCTTGGACTTTGTATCCAAGGGCTTAATGACTGCTGATCAGGCGATAGCTTGTTTCAGAACGTATGCGCTTTCATTCCCCCCCAGAAATGTGACTCGATGAGATATGCTGATAGGGAGTGAACTAGGTTCTTCCAGGGCTGCGTATGTAGTGCTCGGCGCCGGATCTAGCGAGTATCACATGCTGACGAACTTTTTTAGGATAGGTACATCCCGATCTTCGACCCGGAGGTCGACACCTTCACCTCGGTACGCTCTCGCAGCAGCATACTGCTGAACGCGATTGGCACGATTGGCAGCCGCGTTGAAATGAGTGCAACGACGGGTATCTTGCGATTCCTTCCCTAAGGTTCTTGATATGATCGCATGCTGAGTGATAGCGTGCAGGCCCCGGATCTCAAGTTCCCGATCTGCTGCATACCGAACTCAAGAAATGCATTGGCATTGTGATCCAAAACAAGAATCTGAACTGCCTGGAGTCGGTACAGGCGTTTCTGATCGTCGCGTGCTACACCGCCGAACGCTCGCTGATACTATCATTTGCCACCAGAATGGCGCTGGACCTTGGTCTGGACGAAGCGTTCGAAGAGCTGATTCAACTACTAACATTGAAGAGAACTAACGACACGTCGAGAATTTCCTGTGATAGCATGGAAGCACAGGTGCGCTGTCTGATGCGGAAATCCAGGACATGGTTTGGGCTCCTGGTACTGGATCACATGTAAAGCCTCCTCCCAAGCTACTTATGCTAGGTAAAGCTGATGGGTATGGTGCTCAGATTCCACGTTGACGGTGGCAAGCCACCTGGGATACGAATGATGGGAAATGCTCGGCGATGCCGGATCCTGCTGCATCATCCTTCGTCAACGGTATTAGATATGCGCCTTTTCTCTCAGGTTGAGGTAAGGTTTTGAAAATCGCGTTGTGATGAGGGTACTGATAGTCGATATAAGTTGAATGTTATTCGAGGTATGCATCTAAAGCCGTTGTCGGAGGGTGCGATACAGCATACTAACCAGCGATGTATGCAGCCAACATCAATGACACACTAGATATCCGAGGCAGTCTAACTCGAGAAGCAATCGCTGAGTTTGTACATGAGGCCAAGGTCGATCTTGATCTCTGGTTTGAGTGAGTTCCATGCCCTGCTCTGCCCTGTCCACAAGTCCCAACACTAACGACACTCAGTGACTGGCAGCGCATCATCGGTGAGCTCCTTAGCCAATCCAGCCCCTAGGCCAAAGCATGTAACTTATACTGAATGTTACCCTCAAAGTCAACTCCCCAACGGCCCAAGAAGAACGGCCATTCCTCCTGGCCGCGCTGAGTGTCCAACACTGCTGGGCCGAACTCATCCTCCACTGCAAAGCGCTGCGCTCAATGGGCGTGGAGAATGTAGCGTACGTTCAGCACCAGTCTTCAGCCCTTACGGCACTGCTCCCAACAATGAGCCACGCCTTTTCGTCCCCCATAAGTTAACCCCGTCAAATACCCACAAGCTAACCTCTCGTTTCAAACGTAACAGAGCAATCACCCCACTAGAACGCAACATCCTTCACCTCGCGAAATCCGCCGCCCGCCAACATCTCCGCCTCATCAGCCTCGAGCCCGCCTTCTACCTCGCCAAGCTCAAATACGCCATGGACTTCGTCTGGGCCAAATGCGCCTTCTGCTTCCTGCTGCTGTTGAAACTCTCGCGCCTGCTCCCCGAACCGCGGGACGAGCACCAGGAGCTGCTGGAACTCGGAAACAAGCTCCTGTGGGAGTTGACCCGGTCGGCTGAGGGCAGGGAAACATCGGCTCTCGATCTGGATCTCGCACCGACTAGAAATCGTCGCTGTGCTGCTGAAGCGTCAACAACGTCACCGTCCTCGCACATCACCTCTCCGGCAACAGGAGCGGCCACCGTTCAGGGCCTGGCATCAGCATCAGCAACAGGTGCAGGGATGGGGAATGTCTACATGCATATCCTCCGCTTAAGCATAGAGAAATACAGCCGCATATTTCAAGGACAGGAGCGGGAACGGACGGGGGTTTTTGGTGGAGAGTACAGCAGCAGCAGCAACAGCAGTCCTTGTGGTGGTGGTGGTGGAGGAGGAGGAGGAGGAGGTGCGTCAGCCACTGCAGGTGTAGAGGCACCAACAGCAGAGGAGCCGGCGACAGCAGCAGCAGCAGCAGCAGCAGCAGCCGAACAAACCACCTCTTACTTCTGGGACCTGTTCGATGCGCAAGTTGATCTGCAGTCGTTCGTTCCGGAACAGTTCGTGCGCGACTGGGATTTCCCCGGGCTGAATCTTTTCTATTTCCCGACGGCGTGGCAGGATTTCTTTGGGGACTTTTCGTTGGGGTTTGGAAGCTGATTGATTACGCACTTGATTTCTTCGTGTGTATCATCTGTTTGCGTTGAGAGAGTCAGAGAGATATATTCTGGTCTGATACTTTGTTCTTGGTTTATAGGCCAAGGCATCTGGGAAACAGAAACCAGCTACTGTGTTGAATCTGAAATTTGTCTGCATAGAATATTCTGTCCGAAGTATGTTATGATTCCCGCTAAACAACGATTTCCAAGATCCAGTCTAAAAAAAGATGCCACTTTTACCCACCCCCCTTTTCCTTGCTGTTGAAAAACAAGTACTGTATGAATATCAGGATAACGGTAAGATGACAACAAAAATGCGGGCAGGGTATTTTGAAATGGGCTTTTTGATTTTTTTTATGGGTCGTTGTTCACTTTATATACCTCATCCCAAGGCTCTCATCGTAAGCTCGACACTATTGCAATGGAAAATTAGCATTGAATCCACCGTCCAAAACACAAGGCAAAAGAAGGGGTAAGGCAGGACATGAAACATACACGGCAAAAGTCCCCGCGGAGACGGGCATGGCCCTCAGCAACGTGGGCCCGATGCCCTTCCAGAAGCCCGCCAGCCCCTCGGCGGCATACGTCTTCCGGAAGCAGTCGGTCATGCTCCGGAACTGCTGGGCGGCGCCGAAGCCGTCGCACTGCATCTTGCTCTTGACGACGTCGAAGGGGTAGCTGCTGAGCCAGAGGACCTCGCCGGCGAGGCCGCCGTAGGTGGCGACCTTGAGGCTGGAGATCTCCTCGCGGCGGACGCCGTTGCGGCGGGCGTCCGCGTTCATCAGATACTCGAAGGCCAGGAACCAGGTGCCGTAGGCCTGGATCTCGCGGAGGTAGGTCACGTTCTGGCCCCGGTAGAGACCCTTCAGCACGCCGCCCTGGCTGCACAGCTTGCGGATGCAGTCGATCGGCCCATTGTACAGCTTGCCGGCGCCGTGCGGCTGCGTCTGCAGCCGGATGCGGATGTGCTCGATCGGCCCCGACAGGAACGAGTTCGTGATGCCCGCGAACCCGCCCGCCAGGTAGTACTGCGTGTAGGAGAGCGTCGGGTCCGCGTATTTCTTCTGGTTGAGCGCCTCCAGCCGCCGCCGGGCTTCGTGGAACGCGCCGAATTGGACGCTCACCTGCAACAAAGAGGGGTTAATGCGGGGATGTTGAGGGGGGGAGGGGGGAGGGGGGAGTCCCGGGGGAAAGATAGAAGACATACGCAGGCTCCGATACCAATCAGAGGCGTCAAGGTACCCTTGTAGAAGGCCGTGGGACCCTCGTTCTTCAGGATCTTGGTGGCGCAGTCAAGCGCACTGGCGTACTGTGTGGTTGTCTGCAGGCGGACCTTGACGATATCTGCGGGCGCATGGGTGAGAAGCTTGCGAATGGATGAATTGTGAGAGCATTCGTTTACCTACCGAAAGGTTGACCTAGAGATCCGTTAGTACTCAGTCAATGTGCGACGCGATCATTTGACAGCGATAGTATTTTGTGGTTGCAGCATGCGGAGATAGATTGGAAGGTCGATGCCATGCTCCAATCGGCGTATACATGACGCACTGCGAGCCGACATCACAGAACAAAATAGCTGAGCACTTACCAATGAGCACCTGAGCGATGCCGCCAGCAGCACCGGCCGTCAAGTCCTTGACAGCGCGAAGGCTGCCGCCGCCCTTCTGCATATCCTCAAAAGCCTCGGACTCCATTGCGGGGAACTTGACCACGCCCGGAAAAGCGAAAATGGGTGGAGTGGAGAGGGGTTTCGCAGGAAGTGAGGTTTTTATAGCACCAAAGAAGGCGTTTCCGCGGTCGAAGCAGCCCAGAAACCCTCAGCGATCAGTATGGAGAGAGAAGATCAAGAGAAGAAGCAGCGAGGAGGCAGGGGAGAAAGAGAAGCTTATCGGAGAGCGATGAGGTGATAGCCCCATTCCCCGATCGCGGCCTCCGATTCGGCAAAGGCGCCGACGATGCACGTGAAGCGGGACAAGCATAAAGCTGAGTCAGCTTCTCCCATAAAGCTACCCACTAGTACTGGAATTACTGTAACTTACGTGACGGTCATTTTACGTCCAGGCTCAATCGGGTCGCATCGTAAGTTGGCGGAGGTTGAGTACTTCCATGTCCGTGACGTCTCCGACAACTTTCCTCGTTCGCCGCAGTTTTGACGCCAAGGGAAACGCTGCGAGCAACGACCTTCATCATGCACAGGCGAGCTGCCTTGGAGGTGAGCATATCGTCTAGAATAAATCTATTTACCTTTACCTCCTCTCAGACACTAACCTGAAAAATCTCTCCTAGCTTTCTCGCCGTCAAGGTGTCGATTGGTCCTGCGCAACAGCCCGCAGAAATGCTGCTTTCGCCCCAGTGTTGAACCCTGTGCCCCGGAGGGGCTTCCGAGCCTTTCCCGCATGTGCTGATTCCTCCGACTCTCCAAATGACTCCGGAACGCCCCGGAAATTCGCCCCTCGTTGGGGAAGCAAGGCCACGCGATCGGTAGGCCTGAGCCCGGCAGAGCAGGCAATACGAGATGCTATGGTGGCGAAACAACAGGAGAAATCTTGGGAAGAGCAAGCACGTCAAGATGCCTTGCTGGCAGAAGAAAGAGCGAAGCAGGAGCGGAGGGATGCTTTATTAGCAAGGCAGAAGGCGAAGGACGAAGAAGACCAGGCCCAGCGAGATGCTATTCTAGCCAGACAGAAGGCCAGGCAACGGGAAGAGCAAGCACAGCAAGAGGCTTTAATAGCACGACAGAAGGCGAAGAAAGAGGAAGATCGGGCCCGGCGAGATGCTTCAGTAGCACAACAGAAGGCGAAGGAAGAGGGAGAGCAAGCACAGCGAGAGGCTCTGCTGGCGGCACAATCGGCGAAACAACAGGCGCAGCAGGACAGTCAAAGCATCAACCCTCCGGCGAATGCAAACAATCTTGCTAGTGCAATTCCTTCAACATCCTCGCAAAGTCCCGGAACAAGCTCTCCCTTTGGCGCAAAATTCACTTCCCGCTGGGGAAGCAAAGCGTCCAAACCCACGGGTCTGAGTGCGGCCGAGAAGGCGATGCGAGATGCTTTGGTAGCCAAACAGCAAGCACAGCAGGGTCCCCCAGAAACCAATTCCTCAGAAACCCCGTCCGAATCATCCGATAGCTCCAAAAAGGGCTCCGCCGGGTTCACTATTCGTTTCGGAGATAAGAGATTTATGGCAACGGGTCTGAGCCCGGAAGAGAAGGCAGCGCGAGACTCTCTGGCAGCCAAGCAACAGGCGCAGAAGAATCTTTCACAAACCACCTCAGAGACTGCAGAAAAAAGCGCCGACACTCCCCTCTCAAAATCCTCGAATGACGCGGCAAAGGGCTCTCCCGCCCAGACCAGGTTTACTATCCGTTCGGGAGATAGGAAATTCCAATCAGTGGGCCTGAATGCGGAAGAGAAAGCAGCACGAGATGCGCTGGAAGCCGAGCAACAGGCGCAGCAGAGTCCGGTGGATCTCTCCTCCTCAGAGACTTCGAACAAGTTTGCAACGGGTCGCAAATTTGCAGCTCCTCGTTGGGGAACTAGGGCCACGACATCCATTGGTTTGAGCCCGACAGAGAAGGCAATGCGAGAGTCCCTGCTCGAACAGCAACAGAGTCGACATCCACATTTACACGGTGATAGGTCACATTCCAGGTGGCAACATCAAGGATCTCGGTCACAACAAGAGCGCTCCATCGAGCACGATGGCTTCAGGCCGCGCAGAGATCGCTTCGACTCCTGGCGAACGGACGGCCGGTCTGATAGCAATTGGCGCTCCTCCGAAGACATGATGTCGCAAGGTTATAGACGTTTCCGGCCTGATGGGCCAAGGCGCAGTCGCTACGATCAGATTCCCGAGCACCTTCAGACGGTGGATTGGACCTGCCCAGACTGCCGTTACCTTTGCACCGGGGCGGAGAAGGCTTGCCCTTGCTGCATGGCCCCCAGGCCTGAGCTAATGTCGGAACAGCCGAACAAGCCCTTGACCATTCGGAAATTGGACGGCAGCAGTACAACGTCTTGGGATGAGAGAAACCAGGCTTTGGACAAATATGCCACGAGATACGAAGAAGAGCAAAGACAGCAGCAGGAGCAGGAGGAGATGGAAAAGCAAACGCAAGACAAACCTCAAAAGTCTGTCCACGACTGGTCATGGGATACCTCCGCATTGGACAAACTCAATACGCAGCAGGACGTGGGAGGCTCGTCTGACAAGTGGTCTAAGCGACGAGGGGGTCGCGCGAAACCCCTCACGTTCGCGGATGAGGATGAATTCGATACGGAAGACTACCAGCGACGTCGTCAAGAGAAGAAGGACAAGAAGCGCAAGAAGAGGGAGGATCGGAGAGAAGAGGTCGAGGCGCAAGTCGCCGAGCCCAGTCCTCTATATCTACCTGAGTTCATCAGCGTCAGCAATCTCGCGGACGTCATCGGTGTGCGGCAGGCGCAGTTTATCCAGCGAATGGAAGAGATGGGCTTCGAGAACGTCACGCATAGCCACGTTCTGGATGCGGAAACCGCCGGGCTCATCGCCGCCGAATACAACTTCGAGCCCGTCTTTGACACCGGTGAGGACGAGCTCACTGCCGCGCCGCAGCCCGAAGATACATCGAGCCTGCCACCCCGGCCGCCGGTGGTGACGATCATGGGCCACGTCGATCACGGCAAGACCACCATCCTAGACTGGCTTCGCAAGTCCTCGATTGTGGACTCGGAACACGGCGGCATCACCCAGCACATTGGCGCCTTCTCCGTGTCCATGCCCTCAGGCAAGACGATCACCTTCCTCGACACCCCGGGTCACGCGGCGTTCTTGGACATGCGTCGCCGCGGTGCCGACATCACCGATATCGTCGTGCTGGTCGTGGCCGCGGACGACAGTGTCAAGCCGCAGACCATCGAAGCGATCAAGCACGCGACGGCGGCCAACGTGCCGATCATCGTGGCCATGAGCAAGATGGACAAGGAGGGCGTCAACCCCGACCGGGTCAAGCAAGATCTCTCCGTCCACGGCGTTCACGTCGAGGACTTCGGCGGGGACGTGCAGGCGATCGGCGTGAGCGGTAAAACCGGCGCCGGCATGCTGGAGCTGGAAGAAGCGATCATCACTCTCTCCGAGGTGCTCGACCACCGCGCCGACCCCACCGGCAACGTCGAAGGGTGGGTGGTGGAAGGCACGACCAAGAGCTACGGGCGCGTGGCCACCGTGCTCATTCGCCGCGGCACCCTGCGCGTCGGGGACATCATCGTGGCCGGCGAGACCTGGGCGCGGGTGCGCACTCTGCGCAACGAAGCCGGGGTCGCCGTCAAAGAAGCCAGCCCGGGCATGCCGGTCGAGGTCGACGGGTGGCGTGAACAGCCGACGGCAGGCACGGAGTTCCTGCAAGCCGAGCACGAGCAGCAGGCCAAGTCCGTCGTTGAATACCGCCTCGAGCGGTCCGAAACTTCGAAGCTGGGGGAGGACACGACGGCGATGAACGAGGCGCGCCGCGAGCTGATGGAGCGGCGCCGCCTTCAGGAAGCCGGCCTGGACCAAGAAGAGGTCCAATCGGGCCCCAAGCCGATCCACTTCATCATCAAGGCGGACGTGCACGGGTCGGCGGAGGCGGTCCTCAACTCGGTGACGGCGGTGGGCAACAACGAGGTGTACGCGAACGTGCTGCGGGCGGAGGTCGGCCCGGTGAGCGAGTTCGACATCGAGCACGCGGCGTCGGCGGGCGGGCACGTCATCTCGTTCAACATGGCCATCGACCCGCGGATCACACAGATGGCCGAGTCGCGCGGCGTGGCGATCAAGGACCACAACGTGATCTACCGGCTCATTGACGACGTCAAGGCGACGCTGAGCGAGCACCTGCCGCCGCTGGTCACGCTGCGCGTCACGGGCGAGGCGGAGATCGGCGAGATCTTCGAGATCAAGCTCAAGGCGCGCGAGCGCATGCACATCGCCGGCTGCCGCGTGCGCAACGGACTCATCAACCGCACCAAGAAGGTGCGCGTGCTGCGCGGCCAGGAGACGATCTACACGGGCACGATCGCCTCGCTCAAGAACGTCAAGAAGGACGTCACCGAGATGCGCAAGGACACCGAGTGCGGCATAGGCTTCGAGGGCTGGTTCGACTTTCAGGTCGGGGACCACGTGCAGTGCTACGAGGAGATCTTCGAGAAGCGGTATCTGTAGTGGTCGTGGGTGGCTGTATTTTTGGAACCACGGCGGGTGCTTTTGGCTTCGCTGTACTATCAGTTTTTCTTGCCCACGAGATGCATGTACACAGGTACACAGGAAGACCCGCAAAGCATGGGGGCCCTGGAACACAAAGGGGACGGTTGATTCTTGTATATTAGTCTAAAATAACCGGATACCACATAGACAACTTTTGCATACCTCATACCAGTTATCCGGGTGGAAGGGGGTTAGTCGTCTACATGTGTATATGTATATAGTGTATCAAAACTCTCCATCTTCAGCACTTGGCCTCCCACCAATTTCCCCATATATCACCCTCCCACCAAAGAATCATCTAGCCTTCCACCTAACCCTGCCCACCCAAGCGGCCCAAACCCTCACATCCTCGCGCTCGCAGATCCGGTCGACGGTGAACCACTCCCTGGCCAGCTCCTCATTGCCCGCCATCCGATGCACAAAGCTATGGCATGCGCGGCACAGCCACGCGACACTGTTGAGCATCCACTCCGGATGCCACCCCTTCTTGAGGACCTTGGCGTGCACGCTGCGCGGGATGAGGTGATGGTAGCTCAGCGGGATCCAGTCGCGGCCGCAGATCTCGCAGCTGTCGGTGCGGGTCGTCGCCCAGACGGGGGGCGGGCGCGTCACGGCCGTGATGTACTCGGTGAGGATCGGGGTGAAGAAGGTTGCGAGGGCGTCGGCGTCAGCGTCAGCGTCTGCGCCATGCTTGACGGGGTTGTCGGCAAGCAGGGCGTAGGTGGTTAGGGTGTCGTGGACGGAGGCGGGGAGGGTGGTGCTGCAGAGGGTTTCGGCGAGGGCGCGGGGGTCGGTTTCGGTTGCGCTGATTTCGTAGCTAGCGGTGGTAGTGGTGGGAGTGGAGGGGTTTGTTGTCGGTGGATTTCTGGTGCTTGGTGTTGTGGTTGTTGTTGTTGGCGGTGGTGGTAGTGGTGGAGGAGTGTAGGTTAGGGTTTGGATGGAGGGGGGCAGGGCGGGGAAGGTTTCGGCTGCGAGGAACTGTTTCTTTCCTTTCTTAGTGATTGAAATTGCAATTGTAATGCTGGGCTCCTGGTAGCCCATTGAGGTTCTTGGTTCATGAGGATGTGGAAGGGAGGTTTGGAGGTTGGGCACTTGCCATACTCATGGAGTATGCATGGAGTGCCCGCGGGATGTTTGAGTCTGGGTATGCGCTGCTGGAGAGACAAGCAATCACCGCTAAAAACATCACGCACATCAATAAACTCAGCCAATTCCTCCGGACTCGCACGGTCAGGGAGAGATTGCGAGGCGTCAGCAGCAGCAGCAGCAGCAGCAGCGGAAGTCCCCGAAGTGTCCTTGCGCGTCTTCTGGCGCTGAGAAACGGCGCCGCGCGTGCGACGAGCCTTCTTGGGCTGCGCCGGGGTGGAGAATTTCTCCACGATAGCCGTGGACAGGCACTCGCGGAAGACCTGGTAGTTTTCGGTGTTGGTCATCGATGCCGGATGTTCAAGTAAGAGTCGTAGACAAAACGTTGTACTGTACAGGCCTAAAAAATAGAAGAGGCGGCGGCGGCGGCGGCGGCGGCGGCGGCGGAAATGTGATGAAGCTGGGTTGACATCATCCATCAATCAAACTGTGGGGTTTCCGCGGCGGGAGTTTGCTTATTCTTATACTTATACTTCTACTCCTCTGCTCAGGTATTCTTACTGCACTTCTGGATTCGGAATTCAATTCCTCCCTCCCTTGATGCGACTCTCAGCGATGACCAACCAAACACAATGGCAGAAGTGATCGTCGCCTTCGACATCTACGGGACCTTACTGTCCTTTGAATCGGCCACGCACGAGCTGTCGCAGCACTTGCAGGTGGACGCGGAGCGTGCGCGCAACGTGGCCCAGACCTGGCGACGCTACCAGCTGGAGTATACCTGGCGGCTGAACAGCATGGGTACAGTACATCCATCCAACTACAGAAACCTGATCCAGAACCAAACCCCAAACTCCAGGCCGCTATCTCCCCTTCAACGAAGTCACCCGAAACGCTCTGCAGCACGCGCTGGACGACACCGGATCCTTCCTAGGCGAGCCGGAGATCGACAGCGTCCTCACAGCCCACAATCGCCTGCAACCGTTCCCGGACGTCGAGGACGCCCTCCGGAAGATCGCAGCCACGCGGATCAGGCCGGTGGTCTTTTCCAATGGAACGGTGGACATGGTGCGCGCCTGTCTCAGCCACGCCGCACCGCCGTCGCTGCAGAAGATGAAGATGGAGATCGTCAGTGTGCATCCCGTCCAGCAGTACAAGCCCGCCCCGGCGACCTACAGGCACCTGCAGGAGCAGGTGGGCGGCAACGCGGAGGCGGGAATCTGGCTCATCAGCGCGAATCCATTCGATATCGCCGGCGCGACGAGGGCAGGCCTGAAGACGATCTGGGTCGATCGGGACCAGACGGGTTGGACGGACCGCGCATTGCCCGGTGTCGAGCCCACGGCGTGTATCAGCCAGCTGGTGGATTGCGTCGACATCATTCTTCCAGACTACCGATAACATGTACAATACGGCACTACTGTGGGAGGAAAAAAAAAAAAAAAAAGAAGAAAACCTTTCTTCCTTCCGTGTCGTCGAGTAAGCCGCAAGCTCAAAATAACTTGGTAAAAGGCTTGAGGTGATGTCCCGCTGTAGTAATTTCCAAACGCTCCACGCCAAAGGTAGAGAAGAGTCCGGGGTAAGTCAGCAGATGTTGCTCTGACCTCCCATTTCCCCTTCAAGAACCCACGGGAAAAGGATTCTCGAAGTGAATAGGGAGGAGTGATCAGTATATGTATGAAGAAAGAAAAGAATCTGAGAGGAGCGGCGGGAGAAATTTTCATTCTTATAGGCGGTCGTTGACCGCCTTTGGCTTATCGATAAGCTAGGCTTGCCGGGGCTCGGGTAATATTTCCCTTGGCTGTACGCGCAACCCGCAATTTACAGACTTGATCGAAATCATGAGGAAAGACGGGCAGTTAATGTACATAATGTTGAAGTATGAGCCATGGTATCTCTGTATTTGTAAGAACCCAATTCACAAGGAGAAAAAAAAAAACAGCAAGCACAACAGCCACCCCACCCAATTGATCCATTCCTACAATTACAAACAACCCAGGCATATGCAAACAAGCAAGGAAACGCGCCAACAAGCAGGCCGCTAATTCAGACAGACCAACTAGAAGTCCTTTCAAAAGCAAACTCCACCGGACTCCGCTGGACACAACATGCTAAAGAAAATCTCAAACCAATCACCAAACAATGTCAGTCAAGCACAAACAACAGCAGATGCGTTCGTTGTATGCTCCCCAGAAGCAAGAAAATTCTATAGTTGAAAAGCCATCCCCCCTTCTTCGGCGAATCGAGCCTGATATTCCTTGATGCCGGCCCACTGCCGCAGCTCCTCTTCGTCCCGGTCGTGGTCGCTCAGATAACTCATGGACCGTCCGGAAACGTCCGGTTGCTGTCGAGCCTTGCTCGGATCGGTCGGCCCAAACCCTTCAAGGCGCATGAGTGTGTCAATAAAGGCGCGGAGGTATGACTCGACTTCGGCGCTGGTGAGAGGTTGTGGACCGCTTATCGTGGAGGTCGCATTCGGATTCGAGAAATTCAGGAGGGTTGATGCAACCTGGCGAACCTTCGCCGTCTGTTTCCAATAGCTGATGAGTATTTGCTTCATCGGAGACGACAGTGAAGGAGGGGGGACACTTACGAAGCTCGCGCCGTTAGGCTCCATGTTGACCTCATTGACCGACTGCAGTAATGCGAACAGGTCCCGAATCACGAGTCGTCGTTCTTCAGCCATGGTCCTGCCGATGTAGTCGGACTGGGCATCCGCGTCCATGGCTGCCTGGGTATGCGGTTGGCCCCCTTCAGTCTTGACGGCCACCGAAGGACTGCCAGAAGGATGCTGCTCGGTCGGCTTTTGGTGCATCTTCACAGCGCCGTACAAGGACCAGTATTTCTCCACCAGATAAGATCGTACGGCAAGCTGACTGGCATATATGTTCGCCTTCTGGATCTCATACTGTACGTGACGTTCACAAGATTGCGGATCGTTCGTGCTGGACAGTGGGCTGGGGCTATCGCGTCCATTGGTTGATGCCGGGCTCTGAATTCCCCCGATGACCAGCTCTCGTGGAAGCTCATTAAAGGCCGCCTTGGCATTCTGCAGGCATTGGCATAGAAGAGAGCGTTGTCGCTCCCACTCCAGGATCTGACCGCTTCCAAAGGCCGTCTCCCAAGCCGAGAGCTGATTGTAGGAGCTCATCACGCGGACGTTGGCAATAAAGCCCACCAGGCGCGACACGCGGTTAGATGGCTGGGGATCGAAGTGTGTGGCATATATAAACTCGTCGTCGACTTCAAGCGGGAGAGGAGGGTAGCGTTCTGTCGGGGTCTCAGGGGGCACATGAATGATGGTGTCGCCTCCACCCAGCTGCTGCATCGAGCGATAGCCGACAAGGACGACGTAAAACAACCGCCTTCCCAGTTCCCGCTCGATAATGTTGACTGAAGCTTCTCCGGAGGCACCGTTGGGTTCCTGAGAAAGACGCGACGAGGCAGACTGGGGACTGGAGATGGTGACATAGGATAGGCGGTTCGAGTGGCGGTAAAGGTCATACACATGGAGCATGGTGAGGCATTCGGCAAAATATATACGGCATCGTCGAATATGCCAAGCGTAGCAGGAGCAGAGGCCGAGAAGGTAGCTGAGGGCGGCGTCATACACGGTCGCGGTCCGATCGAGGTATCCGGTACCTCGAGCCTGAACGGCTACCTCGTGGCACCGTTTGACCAGTGCCATAGAGTGCGGGAACGCCGCTTTCTCGGCATCCGTCGTCAGATGACGCTTCGGTCTCCGAGGGAAAGACGCGACCGACGTCCCGATCATGGCGGCCGCGAGCGCCAGGAAGGTGCGGTTGGTAAGATCCTCTCGCCGCTCCAGCGCGGCGCGGAACGTGGGCTCATGCGGGATCGGGACTAAGGGGTGAATATAGGTAAAATAGTCATCAATCAGCAGCCGGATGGTGGGCATCGAACAAATGGCTTCCAGTGATGCGGGATAGGCAAGTGAGGGTGGGATCCCGCCACCTCCAGGGGTTGGGGGAAGAGGCGAGGTTGGATCTGATGGGCTTGGAGAACCCGATGGAGATTCAGCGAGTTTTCGCTTCTTGAAAGCTTCAGCATGTCGGTTTGGCGGTCCCCGACGGCGGCTTGGCCGTTCATACGTGCAGGGGATGTCCAAGCTTGCGCATGACCGACAGGGCGGTCCGCTGGTGTCACACTGTGGTCAATTCCGACGCAAATCAGCATACTCTACCTCTTCACAAAATCAAACATCGGACCAGGAGGTGTGTGTATGTACCTTTACTTTCCGAATGCTGCAGGCATCGCATGCCTTCCGCAGGCGGGTTCGTTGGTCCATGAATGCAAATCGAGCTGGTTGAGCTTTTCCATGCTTTGTGGGCGTGGACCCTGGAAAACTGCACGCTGGTTGCTTTTCTCCCGGCAGTGACCAGGCGGCGCTCGCATACTACGGACCCAGCAAATTGTGGCTTGGCTGGATGCTGCAGCGGCGCTGTCGGGCACGGGGCGGGATGGAGCCGATGCGAGATGAGATGAGTAGTACGTAGATAATGAAGGAAGATCCGGAGAAGGGCGCAACACGAATCACGGCTTAGTCAGTAAGGGTAGGTTCTTAGGCGATATGCAAATAGTATTAGTGGGCAGCGGAATCAGGACACTAGGTTGACCTCGATAACCCGTTAGTTTAATAATAATATTGTTCTTGCACCTGGCAGTGGCAGCAGAGTGACCGGAGAGGTGGGGAGGGAGAGAAGAGGGGGGGGGGAAAGAAGGAAGATTGAGCAGTGGGTTAAACTCAGTAGTATAACGGCCCCCGTTCCGATGAGGTAAAATAAAGGGTTGATCACCATATAGAGGTTAGATCATCGAAGAAATAGGTATAGTCTCTGTTGAAAATGGGTGAATAGTCTAGGCTGACAACACGTCTAGAAGGGTCACAAAGCCGTTGAGGGAGGGTTCCCTGGAAGTTGAAGGGAAGGTGAAGAAAGCGACCCCGGAGTGACCTCATGAAAGGAATGAAATGATAGGATCCGGACGCATGGGAAGAGGATTAACCACGGACCTAAAGATTCCCCGCCCAGGTGGAGGTAGAATTTTGGGGCCTCTTGGGACGACAAGCTTAGGCGGACTAGCTGGAATGTACTTTAACTTGGGTCGACTCCGCTGTCGATCGAAAAGTGCAGGTCCAACGGTAACCCAATGGTAAACCACATCGATCACCCGGGATTTACCGCCGGAATATACCGGAGGGTAACAGTAACACAGACAGTCAGTTACTGGTCGACAGTACGCAGTACGCAGTAGGTACTATGTAGATGACCGTTTTGGTTGGTTCTAGAAGCTGACCCCTGGTATAGACCAGTGTTTCTGATTCTCGTTCTTGGGATTTCTGGGATGAGATGGTGAAACGACCGAGGACAAGGAAGCACCATGTTTTTTTTGAAACGTGGTTTGTGAGTTTTCCACGTGGAAGAGGAAAAACGAGGATGAGGAATGCTTGGTTCGTATACGTCACGTGTTCTCGATCTATGAGGAGGAGGAGGAGGAGGAGCAGTGAGCAGTGAGCAGTGAGCAGTGAGCAGTGAGCGACCAACTGCGTAATGGAAAGAGTGCTGCTCAAGAGGCAATAACACTCGATTCATCCTCAGTGCTTGCATTGCTTGCCTTGATTGCCCTGTGTACTCACTGTACTGTACGGTCTTCGGAAAATAGATTGCGGTTCGTGCCCTCTGTACGGCAGGCTGGCAGTTCACTGGCCGAACCAAGAGGGAGATCGGAATAGCGGGTGAGTCGATACGGCAAAGCCTAGTGAATAAAGTGATCCATGATCCATGATCCATGATCGGTGGACAGTCGGCCGCCGCCGCCCCGGTAGAGTTTGCCGTCAGGGGGAGATTCCCTTTTGGTCGTCTGCTCCCGCACGCTAACCGGCCCCTAAAAGAAGTAAAGGTTATCAACGGGCTTGCTGCTTAAACTGCTGAAACTGCTGAAACTGCAGGCAACAATGAGCGCCCTCCTCCCCGGTGAGACTCTGAACAATGGAAACATTAGCCCTTCGGCTTTTCCGAGCCGAGGTAGTATGAAGAGATGAGTTAGGTGTGTTGAAGACCCTCCCTTACACGAGAAAATAAATAACACAGAAAAAAAAAAAAAAAAAACATAGATCCCCAAAATATTATTGACATAGACAAAAGAGAAAACAAAAAAAAAAAATATAATCCTAAGTGCTAATACCGACACTAATGCCAAGATGCACATCAATTGGGCGCGATAATTAATTAAAGTCAACGAAAAACCTCACAGAAAGTCTCATATATTAAAGGTCATACCTAATCAATCAATTATACATCAGAAAGAAAGAAGGAGATTAAAAAAAAAAAAACCAAGTGAAAAAAGAAAGACAAAAAAAAAACATGCATCGAACCGCTCACCCCCATCATATCAAAGGATCGTCGTCGCGGTAAACACCATCTCGCCCAGGCCTCCTGCCCAAAGGATCGCGTCGATTTTCCAGCTCCACTGCCCAAAGTGCTGACCCAACCGCGGTCGACATAAGGAAGAACATGGACAAGATTGGAACTAGTTGAAGCACCAGGGCGACCGTCCCAAATCTAGGGTTGTGGTTAATTAAGTATCCGAGTCGGTGGATCCTTCCTCCGAGAGGGCGGAGTGCACCGTCCGCCCCCGAAGAGCCAGGGTGGGAAGTCACTTACGTAGTATACTGCAGCTGCCGGCGACGTATACTCTCCTTCCGCTGCTGCTTCGAGAGATCCAGCAGCTGGAAGTAGCGCCAGTGGTGGAAGGGTCCCGCCCGATAGCCCGTCAACACGAGAAACATGAGGGTGCCGCCTGGGAAGGGAATAAGGTTCAGCGGGAGCAGAACGATGAATTCCAGAATCTGCCGCAGGGAGAACGGCGCATAGACGGCGCTCTGGGTGGGTTTGCCGAGTCGCTGTACGACATCGTCGCCTTGTGGGTATAAAACCCGCGAGGCATTCACAAGGTCGCCGTGGCCTTCGCTCACGAGCACCGCGTCGAAGATGTCCACCAGCGTTTCATCAACGAAGAAGGCCTCAAACAGAATCGCCACGATCGCGGCCCCTTCTCCGAGAACGAGGACCGCGCCACTGACCCATGCGCCAGCACCCTGGAATATCGCGAGGAAAGCCACTTGCGGCAGATACGTAAACAGGAATAGCAGGACGTAGATGAAGGCAGAGAGCAGGACAATCGGAATCAGCCGAGCCCTGAACAACGGCCAAAGATATCGGTGGGAGAAGGTAAAGTAGATTCCCTGAGAAATAGTCTATGTCAGTCACTGTGCTGGAGAGAGTGGTTGCGGATAGGCAGCAGGAAAGGGAGGCAAAACAGCCCAACATACACGCAGAGGATACAGCCACGCTGCTCTACTGTGATCCCATGTTCTGTCAGCCATTCCCAATTGCTGTAGGCACAAGCCAAGTCCCGCCACAGAGAGATATGTGCGAAGTTGGGAAAAGCAATGGATCAAGGGTGGAGGAAGATGGAGGAAGTAGTTAGGCGACTGTCAACAGACCAAGTATTGCCGCTGCGGCATCATCATCATCACGCGCCAAGCAGGCCTGCCTTATCGATAAGGAAATAGATTATGGGGTATCGAATATACCTTCACCGCTTTCTCTAATCAGAAATATTTCAGTCTACCGTGGGCCTACTATGGATACTCATATAGCTCTGTTGTATAGCTCTTTAATTAAACAGATCCTAGGTTACACTCGGTCATTTGTGGTTAGTATAGCTCGAAACTCCATAGCTGTCCATTACTCGGAATCACGGATCCCAGCAATTGATTACCATTAGCATGTATAGGAACAAGAGGTTCCCTGTTAGCTGGACATGAAGAAAAAGGAAGAGACAAACGAAGATAAATGACACTAGGAAAAGGAGGCTCGCTCTATATTTGGAAGAAAGGACTTAAAAATCTGCCTTGAAACAATCCACCCAGCCCCCCCAAAAAAAGACAAACTAGAATCCTCCAACTTCAACAGTGGTAGTCACTGTTTCCTTTATCCGCTCAGTCACCGTCACCGTCTCCTTTTCGGTGGTAGTCACCGTTGCAGTTTCAGTCACTGTGAAGAAGCCAGATGGGGTTACAGGGACGATCTTGATAATATTGTCCCCTGGAGACGTGGCTGGGACGGAACCAGTCGATTCCGAGTTAGCGGTGGTGATAGAGGCACCTTCGTCTTGTGTGGGATCGTCTCCTTGTGAAATTGAGGTGATCGTTGCGGCCTCTGCTGTACTCTGGGACAGCTCTGCGTCTGAGGCGGTGGTGGGAATGGCGGTGATGACCGTCTCGATAGCCGTGGAGGTTTGCTGAGTGGTTGTGACATCGTGGATCTCTTCGGTTGATAGGTTGGGCACGGCGGTGATGGTTGCGAAGGCTGTTATGGTTTGATGAACGGTTGTTGTGATATCAGGGGTCTCGTCGGAGGCTGCAATAATAGTTTCGATAGCTGTGGAAGTTTGGGGTACTGTAGTTGTGAGGTCGGATGTTGTTTTCGGTGCGGTGGTTGGAACTGGACTTCTAATCTGGACCGTACTAGTGGGGGAAGCAGACGAAGGCGATGAGAGCTCGTTGGGCTCAGAAGATGCAGTAGTATCCGCGATCCCTACAGTGGTATGCGTCACTGCATCTACGCCAGATTCAGAGATAGTGGCTGACTCTGACGTAAGATATGAAGTCTCGTACAAGGTGGTTGACGGGTAAGGTGTGACCAGAATGACCACTACCTGCGTTCCCTCGGGCTCGGTCTCAGTTGCGGTCCCTGTGGCGGGAACCACGCCAATGAAAGGAGAGGAGTTGACTTGAATTTGTGTTTGAGAAACCCGGGTGATCTCTGAAGCATCGTTGGCAGTGCTCGTTTGTCCGGTTGTTTGTGCTTCTGAAGGGGCAGTTATTGAGTTTGCTGTTTGGGCAGCACTGCTCTTGCTGGAGATGTCTGATGTCTCGGTTGAGGGTTCTGAGTCAGGGGTAGCATAAGAAGTAGAGATGGAAGTGTTGGGTCCAGACAAGGTTTCAATGACACCAATCGATGGACCAGAGGAAGTTATGGTCTCTGCTACAACTGAGGACGAGCTCTCCGCAGAGCTTCTAGCGACAAAGGTTGACGTGGGTGTAACCGCAGGTGTAAAGGACGATTGAATGGTTGCGGGCACGGAAGACCCAATGCCAGTGGAGGCCGATGTAGAAGACTGAAAAAGCGAGCTTGAGGCGACGTCGATTGTCGGAGTCACCATGCTTGAGCTGAAAGTTTCCTGCACTGACAATGATGTGCTAGCTGTTCCGAAAAAGGATTCCATGCTCGAACTGCCCAGCTGTCCGGCTGTTGCGCTTGGGGTTGGGGTGTCTTGCACGGGTTGACTTGAGACAGACGCCGTTGGCACAATCGGACTGGAAGGAGCGCTTGATGAAAAGCCTGGTGACATGTCTGAGAGAATGACGCCTGTACTTGACAAGGCTTGCTGAAAAGCTATATGTGAGCTAGCGGTAACAACGGCACTGGCACTGGTGCTTGATGAGGTTCCTTCGGTTATAGCACTCGTGCTTGCTTGCTGGGCAATCAAGCTACTAGAGTTTGTCATATCTCCTTGACTGGTCACGCCTGCGTTGGTTGGAACAATACGAACAGTAGGAGTAGGTGTGAACGATGATTCTTGTACAGCGGCGCTTGTGCTGGGCAAAGTCTGCCGCGAAGCCACACTAGGACTAGAGGGCTCTCCTTGTGCGCGTGTACTTGCTTCAGCTGGAACTGTGCTAGCAGACACTTGTTGACTGGTTGGGGTCTGGGAAGCCACGGAGTCTTCTGGAACAGCGATGCTGGAACCCCTGGTGTCCGCCTGTGTTATTGGGCTTGATACAGCTACAGGTGTGCTAGATGCAACAGTAGAGGCAGTCATGGGTGAAGGCTCGTCGGTCAAAACGCTGGCAAGTGTCGCGCTGGAGCTGGAGGCATTTTGGACTGTGGCAGACGTAGATTGTGGTAGATTGGTAGGCGTCACCGGAATGATGGTCAAGAGGTCTTCATCCCCTTCGCCGAGGTCTCGAGACCCTAGTGAGATTGCAGCTGCAGGGGCTTCATGTGAGGCTTGTGACAATGCACCAGAAGACTCCAGGTCTCTGGGTTTGTGAAGTAAATGAGCGATCGGGCCAGCCGAGCAAGGATAGGTGAAGACATAGAAGACGATGGCAGCGTGGATTAGATGCATCTTGTCACATACAAAGCGATAGACTCGACACTTAAGCTTGATAGCATATGCAAGAGAACGAAACTGTAAAGAAGGTGGTTGTGCGACTAGAATTAACAGGGCTTGCGAATCGGGTCAGAACAACTATTTACCCATTCTGGCTTGAACGAGAGGTAATCAACAAGCAAGAAAGATTAATGAGAGACAATGGCAAGAAACACTCAAAGAGGGCAAAGGCAGCAAAGAACAGTGTTATGAGGGTGCAGACAGCCATATCTTAAGTCCAGCCATTTGGTTCGGGTCTTTGTCCAGCGGGAGATGAGACAATCAAGCCCTGAGTGGAGATGAAGTGGTTGGCTGAAGAAAGACGAGTTGCCGCGCGACAACAAAAAAAAAAGAATCCATGCACCATGCGGTGTTGCACCATCCGCCGGCTTGATTGGCAATCCAGCATTGTTGACTTTGACAGGATCTTGTCGATCATCTTGTTTTGTTGAATAAGATAGGAGTGAATCAAAAGCACAGCCACCAAAGCTCAGTATTTGACGGAAAACATGGCTGGCTTGCTTGGAAAGCCTCACATCCTACATGCGTACTATGATGACACACTACAAAAATAGACAAGACAGCCCAACTCTATGACTCAATAACAAATTGTCTCTTGCGGCTGGTAGTATTGTGATTCGCCTAGTGCCTACTGGATTTGTTGGACGCCTCTGTTCGCATTCGCAACCTAAAATTGCGACAACTCGACATCCAGAACACGGCGATTGTCCTCAATTCAACGCAACAACAAAAGAGTCACTGATTCCCTCAAAGGCAGTGATCCTACCTGTCAACGCTTTCGAGTCCCCATAGTAATGAAACCGGTAAGTCCCAGCCTGCAGCGAATTGGGATTGCCAGTGTTGTAGTAGTCGTCTTCGATTTCCCACTGAAGAGTAACTTGGCTATAGCCTAGCACTGTGCTTGTCCTGACCCAGTTGTACACAAGATTCCAGTCTGAATCTTTGCGAACCACCACCCAAGAGCCTGTGCTCGGATCCAGTCTCTCCACAGCGGCAAAAGTCGATTCCTGTCGCAAATTATTCCGCGGGTTTGCGCCCACGAATGTCACATTGACCGTGTCCCCAGGGTAGTAAGTGGCATTTTCGAGAGACGAGACAACATCCCCGAAAGCTTTCCCCACAGGGGACCCATCATATACCACACCCGTGATAAAGCTTAATGAAGTGTCTGTGTTTATCGGAGGCTCCAGGCCAGTGGACAGCGATGGGAGACTGGCTGTATTGGGTGTGTCCCCAAGATATGGTAGATATGTCAGGGTCAAGTTCACATATGCAGCCAGGGTGTTGGGGCCGTATAGAGTAGAAGCCCCCTCGTAACGTTGAACTCCATATTCCTCCTCTGTAGCTACGTAGTGCGCATAGCTATTCGACGGAGCTCCCAAAACAACAAGGGGGTTCTCGATAGAAAGCACCTCCTTCGCAGATGTCGCGATAGCTTCCTTCCAGCGCCTGCCAGACATTGTAGTCGCCTCACTGGTAGAAATGACGAGGAACAACTGCCCTACACGCAGGACTTGGATGTCCACGATGTTGGGCGTCCAAGCATACGGCTGTGTGACAGCACCAACGTCAAGTAGAATTTCCTTAGGCGCCTGACAAGCCTGCTGCGCCGCCGATGGCTGGTGGACGAATGCGCGGGCGACGTACCACAAAGGATTGGACTCTGCGGGTCCAGTGCCATTTTGAGTGAAGTCAAAATACCCCGGCCCATCAGTAGTGCCGGCGGCAAATGAGAAACCTAGTGCTGCTGAGCACGTAGTCAAAGTGCTCGAGTTGAAAGGTGACTGAAAGGTGTAGTTCGACATGTCGCGGTAGACATGGAACGAGCGGACCTCGTTGGGCACAATTTTTGTCGGGCTCGTGTCCAGCTGACTGTACAATGTCTTTGCGGCTTCATACTGACGCCGCCCGATCTCGAAACAGCTTTTTGCGCCGTTATCTTTCTCGGTAAAGTAGGGCCCCCGGCCGTGGCAGTCTACAGGTTTCCCGCCACAAGTGCTGTCCGTATACTTACATCGTTCTCCCGAACCATCTTCACACCAGGCTCCGAGGACATTCGGACTGGTATCGCCGACATTAGACTGGGAGAAGCCTGCGACGAAGCCATCCGCGAAGTTTTCATCGTCCTGGACGCTCCTCTCGAAGAGCCACGCAGCGACGCCTTTGTTATCCCCAGTGACCAATGTATTGTTTTCATACATAGACGTTCCATGGACCGGGAAGAAGGACAATACCGCTGTTGTTTTGCTGTCGGATGCTCTATCGAATCTCAGAAGTGTCAACGTCTTGTCGACATTTGCAGAATATTTCGCCTTTTCATCTGCAGGGTTAGCATCGTAGGCATAAGGGCTTCTGTTGATGTTGGCGTCTTCAAGATCAATAGAACCGAAGCTGAGAGACCCTGGCTCCAGGCTTTCATGAGCCCGCTGAATAGAGAGTAGAACACCATCCACGAGAGCTTGGTAGCTCTGCTTATCGAAGCCCTTGGTTGGGATTTGAGGAAGGAGGTAGTTCATCCATGCACCTGGGCCTGAGTGGGAATGAGTCCCGGTGAGAGCTAAGTTCTGCTCTCCATATCTGGTATACTCGCTACCTAAAGCAGCGAGGCCTTCAAGTACACCATGCCGCACAGCAGTGTCGCCCGTCAAGGCATCCAGTACGAGATAGATGAAGGTATCGCTTGTGTTCTGTGGATTCGCGACGATAAAAGCGCGGGAGTAGATCCTTTGTCGAAGGCCAGAGCCGACCTGATCCAAGCTGGCATAGCCATTGAAGATGACTTCTGCCACGGGCCTACATCGACTCCGTCAGTCGTTCTGCGTGATGAGAAGGTGGGCTGCATCGATTTTACCCCGTGATATCCGCCTTTCCAGCACCAAGTAAGAAGGTTCCATTCTCCGCCGCGGAAGACGCAGAAGTTGCCGAAGATGTTGTGGTTGCTCGCTGTTTCCATTGCAGCCGGGATTGCACCCTGACCGGCTGATTGACGTTGGAGTTGCTAATCAGCAGGAACAATTGCAGCACGACAAGTGCTGTCGCTACGCTGCTCACGAGCGCTAAGCCAAGCTTGATGTTCGCCATGGTGGTCAGTGAATCGAGTGTATTCGAGCAAGCGTCACATCCGGAAGCTTAAACCTCCTTCCTCACCAGGGAAGAGGGGTTCTTATCAGCTGCTTGCATCCAGAACAAACCGAGGCAGGGACTGTGACTGCACAAGACCGGACAATTTGGGAGGATATTGAATATGTGCGCCACAGCAGGGTTCTTTTGCAACCTCTCGCAGGGATGGACGGTGAAAGGAAAACTATTGGCGCAGCTGCAGGCGGGAAGGTAACATGAAGTGCTTCTGATCACCCCGTCGTCATCCGGGACTAAGCTCAATCAGGCACGCAAAATCCAACCCCGCGCAGCAAGACGGCGAATATGCCTTTCCAAATCTTGCCCCGGGTGCGAATAGATTGATGAAAGGGGACCAGTTCAGCTGGGTGGGTGACGAGGTGATGCGGGCGCGTTTGGTTGTTGTTTGTTCTTGTTTGTTTCAAGGGTGTAAGGTTTGTTATCACCGGGGACACGGGCAGCATTCCGTAGGGCGGGGAGAGTTCTTAGTAGGTGGAAGGGGAGGAAAGAAGCCTGAAGCCTGAGGACTCCTGCTCGAGCCGCGGTCTTCCAGGAACACCAGCCATTCTGTTGGCTCAAAGTTTTCTTGTCACGTGGACAAGGTGATGTATCAGTCAGTAACTGTAACCTAAGAGTAAGCCTGAGAAAGGTCGATTGATCTAAACAATCAGGTATTTTGTTGTATTATGCACATGCATTGCCTCAAGAGACAAGCAGCTCTTCTAACCTAGCCAATTCAAAGCAAAGAAAAGACAAGCACACGACCTTTCCTGCGCCATGCTGCCTGACAGTGAACGCCGCTGCATGATCTCTTCGAGTCTGTCCGACCAAACTCCCGGGTTCAAAGAAAACCGAAGCAATGAACTTGACTTGTGAACATTAATCACAAAAGCCATGATAAGAGAGCATCCAGAAAAGAAACATTCATGACATAGATCATCCAGCAATGCACTAGAAAGATATGCTGGGCATAAACAACTGGTAATTCCCAGATGAATGAGGAACCATCAGTGGTTCTGGAAAACCACAAGTCCTACTCACAAATGAGAGTTCAAGCAATCAATCATAAAAGTCATCCAACCATCTATCCATTTGACATGATAGATCAGAACAGAGCTAGCACAGTAGGCAGAGGGATAAGAACAGGAAAGCAAAGCCGCTGGGTGTGTACAGCATGATGTTCCCAGAAGTACTCACAGAAAAGAAGCTATAAAATAAAAAGAAAATCCCTGGAAAGCAAGCATGGGCAAGAGGAATCCGGGGTTCGAAGCCTATTCCATCCACACACATAGAAGCATGTACAAAATAAGAAGATATTAAATCACAACTCCAGTTCCATGCATCATGCCATTATCACATGTCGAAATTATCATCAACGTTGAAGATCCCAGGCTCGCCGCCTTCACCAGTTCTCTGAACGCCACTCATGCGGTGATCCATGTGGTTGCTTGACACCTGTTGGGCTCGAGGCCACGTCTCGGTATCCTCAACCATGTGGTCGCCAGTGTCGTTCTTGAAGTGGTGGTCGATCGAGCTTTCGTTCACAAAGGTAAAGCCCTTGAAATTGGCCTGCAGACCGGGAGACAGCGGTGTCCCCGCAGGCATGAGCCCGTTGGCAAGTGCGGCTGCGCGGTCGTTCAAAGAGTTGTTGTTCTCTAGGGCATTGGTAAATTCGGGGTCGAAATTGGAAGTGTCCGTATCGGACTTGAGGACAGGCTTGAAAGGAGGGATCACCTCCTTGCGACCCAGTGCCTCCCAGTCAACATCGTCAAAGAAAGGATGGGCCATGAGCTCCTTCGCGTCGCCCTTAGCGCCAAGACGGTGCTTGGGGTTCCGGTTGAGCAAGCCCTTCACAAAGTTTCTTCCCTCCGTGCTCAGAGCATCACGAGGGAAACGGACCTTGCCGAAGGCGATGTTCTTGTACATCTGCTGGGTGTCTTCGGCATAGAAAGGACTCCAGCCGCAGCACATTTCAAAAACAAGGACTCCAAGAGACCAGAAATCGACCATCTTGGTATAACCTTGTTCATCAAGCAATACCTCCGGAGCGAGATATTCCGTCGTTCCGCAAAAAGTATTTGTGGTATCATTTTGGGTGAGGTTGGCCTTGGAAAGGCCGAAATCACAGAGGGCAATATGACCATTGGCGTCGAGGAGAATGTTCTCCGGTTTAAGATCACGATACACGATGTCGTGGTCGTGTAAATGCTGTAGGGCCAAGATCAACTCGGCAATGTAAAACTTGGCACGCGCCTCCTGGAATCGTCCTTCCTTCTGGAGGTGCCAGAATAGCTCGCCGCCAGACATATAGTCCGTGACCAAGTAAAGGTCGGTGGGTGTTTGGAAGGAGAACTTCAGCCCGACGATAAAGGGAGAAGCGGCCATAGCTGTTCGAACCAGAATGTTGCGCTCACCCAAGGTATGCGCAACCTCCTTCTTCTGGATGATGACCTTCTTCGAAAGAACCTTCATAGCGTAGATACGCCTTGTGTCCTTCTTCTTCACTTGATACACCTGGCCAAATGTTCCCTTTCCGATAAGCTTGAGGATCTCAAAATCGTTCGGTCCCACCTGCTTTCTCTCTGTCTTCTCAAAATGCATCTCCAGGTGAATCTCTCCGGATACCTGAGAGTCACCCGCCGCACGGGAAGCCAAAGGAAACCACCCTTCCAGGCGGCTATTGTCTTCCATCAGATTGATACATAGTCGCACGTGACCAAGAAAATCTTCATGGTTGTTGCGATCATAGACGGACACATCAATTTCCGACTCGTCCCCGAAAACGTCGCTGTTCAGTATTAGCGACTGTTGGGAACTTGGACATAAAGAGCCATATGACGTCAAACACGGAATGAACTTACAAAGTTGCTTCATGATTCCAATGAGGATCAGTCACGGGAGCCCGTCCACCCCTCATGTCGGGACCGTCCAGCGCGCTGTTGTTGCTACTCTGTCGACTTTTCATCGGGATCGCCATCGGCCGTCCGGCTTCGGGTTCCGCACTCTCCTGTTCCTTTTGCTGCCGTTCCAGCGAAGCGTCTTCTTCCTCTTGGGCACTCTTCGAAATCGCTTCGTTCCATTCAAAAACACACACAACATAGGGATCGAATCCAGGTCGCAGTCCCCTGGCCTCAGAAATCTTGACAAACAACTTGCCCTTCAGTGGGGCCACGGGCGGGCCGTTGGATGGCGACGGGGTATCTCTCTCGGGGGGGAAGGCCTCGTTGAGTTTCCCGGCAAGCTCGTCGGTTGAGCTTGTTTCATCGCCGGACTGGGGAGGTACGGGAATGGATGTTGGAGAAGACGATGCGACCGGCTTCTTGTCCGATTGCGATCCTTCGTTGGACATGGCCCTGGGAGTGAGTGGGGGTGTGTTCTTAAAGCGCACAAGATCCGACACGGTTCCAGTTAGCTTCGCCAGATTCTCAGAAGTTATAGAGACAGGTGGTTTTTCGTGTTCGAGTAGGGGGGCATCCGCCAAACATAGGGCATCTGACATGTAAGGAGGAAGAGAAGGGTTGGAGAAGTGTGTGGCAAGGACAGGGTCGTCAGAGACGCTGGAGACTGGCAGGGAGGTATGACGACGGGCTGGAGATTCAGAAGAAGACATGCTCCCGGCAGGCGAGAGATAATTCTTCAACGTAGTGAAAATAGAACTCATGCCTCTGTCCGAGGTAAAAGAACCAGATCCATTCTCATCCGACTCTTTCTGCAGAAGGGAACAAGCGGAGTGGTACGGGGGTGTAGGTAGGTTCGTGGGGGGTAATGTCTCTGGTACTATGATATTCGTCTCAAGATTCTGATCCGGCGAAGCGACAGATAACTTGGTTTCCATAACCTCCGGGCGCTCCATCAAGACAAAGGAGTCCGAGGGTGAGGAATTGTGACCATGAATTTGAGAATCGCGACCTCCTCCAGCAGACATATCCGACTGGAAAGAATACGCAGAAGCACGAGTCTCAGAAGAAGAACACCGGGTGTTGGGGCGACGAGTGTTATTATTTGAGGGAGAACCAACCTGGAAGTAACTGGAACTTAGGGAGGGCAGACGCTTATCTGCTAGATCGGGCTGTGGAGTCGAAATTCCGGTTGGCGTCGGACTGTTTGAACCGATCGAATCTTGGCTGTCTTCCTCTTGCACACCGCTGCTGTTGAACTAGTTAGCCACCGCAGATTAAAATGAAGATCTGTTAAATCGGACGCGACACGGAAAGCAGTAGAGTCGCAAAGCGCCTCGAACAAAACGACTACATGACAAGAGATCGAATAGATGGCTTTGGGGGAAGAAAACTTCAGGGCGGTGCAGATGTGAGCCAAGACGATAAGGATACAAGACTTGGCGTCATTGGCCTATCGTCGTTGACTCATAATGCATGCAATATCACCCGGAACATAAGTGACATGTAAGGAATTGAGTAGCATGAGGACATTCAGGTTCGGAGTGTAAAGGCCGAACCTTGGTAATCCACGGCGCGAAATCGCGACCAACTGGTGGCGGATGAAGTATCCATAGTAGCAGACTCACCTCCGGGGTATGGGCTGCTTCAACATCTCCGCATCTCCACGCGATTGGGTTGCACTCTGAGCAGCAGCCATGATTATGTTCCCATCCGACAACCAAATCCTCCGCCTAGCGCACCGTAATGGAAGATCGTCGGTCTAGACGTTGCGACGCGAGGGATGACGTAGTGGAGCGTGAGGTGAGTCGAGGCCGACTAGCGAGCGAAAAATCTCTCCTCCGGAAAATGTAGGAAAAGAGATCTTAGCTAGAAAACGTTTGTCGGGGAGAATGGTGTTGGGTGAGTATAGCCCAGGGGAATTTGCGGGATGTTGGATCCGATCGGGTTCGGATGACAAGGCGACTTGAGAAGGATGGGGAGGGGTAGAAGATTAGAGAAGGCGGGATTAAATGACCTGTTGGGTGGTAGGAAGGTGTTAAAAGCAGAAGAGCCAGAAGTGGATCCGAGCGAGAGAAAATGTTGAAAGAGGCGGAGGCGGATGAAGTCAGGCGCAGATTAGGGGGGAATTGAAGTGGAATTGCAGTTATTGGAGGGGGTGGAATAAAAGGGAAGGGAACTGGGTAGGGTAGGGTAGAAGGCTAAGACTAGGTAC